TGTTCACTATCTAAAAACTGCTTAGTAATGTTGACATTTATAACCCTAGTGTTTAGCCTGCCAGAATATGCTTTATCAATCACAGTACATTACCCTCTTTAAAGTACCTCCATCATTAAAAAATGAAAGCATGATTGATTGATTTTGCCCCAATATGCGAACTATAACATTCAATGAACATAACATAAATCATATATTTGTACAGATGTCTTCTCCAATTTCTTCATAAGAAGATATATTTAGTCATTTTCACTAAAAGTGAAAGACTATGGCTATAAAGATGCAAGTTCAGACACATTTATAACATTCATGAAACTCAGAATAGGGTTAATACATTTAATATCAAGAAAGAGAAATACAGCCAGTCTAAAACTTTCTAAATAACTCAACTAGTTTCATAACTGATATAGATATTTCAAGGATTATGTGAAGTTCCTTCCCCTGATGAAAGACGAACGGAAGTGACTTACCCCGGAAAAACCGGTCGACACAGGCTGGTGGGGGGGAAGAAAGACTGGACGGAGAGGGCACTGGGAGTTGGACCGGCGAGCATGCCGTGTGAGAACGTAGAGAAAAGAAATATGTTTTAATTTCTTTTGCGCGCCTTGTATATATATATTGTATATAGTTTATTTTACAGTGTATTCGTTGTATGGTGTATCAATAGTGCAGTTTGTGTAATAAATTAGTGAAGAAAATGTCAAAGCGGACAAGTGTTATTTTCCCACTAAGTAAGTTCCCACTAAGTAAGGTAAGTTTACACAGAAGAACCCACCTCGTGTTTGAACGAGCGCGAGGCTTGACAAATGTCGCAGTCGACAGGATAGTGGGAAAAAAGAAATCACCAAAAATACGAAGGAAGTAAGATCGTAAAAAGTGATTTGAGTGAACATGGTTTAAATGAAGGAAATAAGTCACGAAAGCAAGGAAGATGACAAAAGATGGTCATGAAAGACGGAGAGTGGCATGTGTAAGCCTACACGTGCAAATAAACGAAAGGGTGTTTGAAACCTCATCGTGTGAAAAGTGATCATCAGTATTACCGTGGTGATATTATTAAGTGAAATGTTCGTGCAGTGTTGAAACAGTGGCTGGTAAAAGTGATCATCCGTATTACCGTGGTGATATTATTAATTGAAATGTTCGTGCAGTGTTGAAACAGTGGATGGTAAAAGTGATCATCAGTATTACCGTGGTGATATTATTAAGTGAAGTGTTATGCAGCGCGATGAGGAAATTGTACAGAATTGAGCACAACTCGTCATTTTCTACTATCGGGATCAAAGGTAAGTCCCTCTTAATTTCTTGGGAAGCACAATATATAAATGAAGAGAGCTTCCTCCCTATAATTACTATAGTAACGGAGAAAATTAAAATTGTGTTAATGTCGGTTAATAACATGATGAGAATGCCAGGCGTTAAAGCCAGTAGACACTTAGAAAGTATATTTTATATGCAAATAAGGAATTATGATTAATTTTGTTATTAAGGAGATAATGTATGCTAAATGAATGTTAAAATAATTCAAAAATATGTCAGCAGTAATTTCGAAACATTTAATGGTGTGCTCATGTTACTAATTAAGGTAGAAATTATCTATTTTTGTTGTTGCCGTGTTTTGGCAAAATGTTTTAGTCATTAAAGTTAATAGGTTGATTAAAAATTAATTAGTTTAATGATTTGAGAACAATAAGTAAATGTTTGTTTCATTTCCAGAATATATAAAGTATTACGGCGTAAGGCCAAAGTATTCAGAACTATTTTTTTTGTACTAATTCAAAAGCTAATATAATTTTTGGTATTTATGTGTTAACAATATATGGTGAAATATATGTTAATAGTAATATGAGAAAGGTATTCATGATTGTGTTCACTAATGATAATGTTTGCTAAATGAATAATGGTAGTATTCAGTAGTAGTGAAATATGTATGTTTGCCTGTAAAATTAAGTGTTATTTATGTGTTGTAAAGCTGTGAAAAGAAATACCAGAAGTTAATATGGGTCCTAAAAGGAGAAATAGGGTGTCAGAAGAATCTGATGAAATTATTAAGAACATGCAGGCTCAAATTAAGTTAAAGGAAATGGAGCTGCAGCTAGAAAAGTGTAAGTTAGAGGCAGATGCAGCTAAAGACCGATTAAAAGAGATGGAATTTCGGGAAAGACAATTAGAGAGAGAACACGAGATAAAAATTAAAGAATTAGAAATTCAGAGTAGAAAAATAGATAAAGGAGGAAATAAATCGGGTTCAGAGGATGAAGGGGTTTCAGATGCTGAGAGCAAGGGAAATGATTTCTTGAAACATTTAAAAATAATGAAAGGAGTTATGATTGACCCGCCATCTAAAGCTGAGGAATGGCCGTTCTTTTTCCATCATGCGGAAATGATGTTTAATCTCTATAAAATTCCTGAAGAACATAAGGGGAAAATTATTTTGCAGAGTTTAAAAACTAAAGTTAAAAGTTTGATTTCAACTCTGGGTGAAAGGGATTTGGATAATTATATTAAGATTAAAGATACAGTATTAAAAGAATTCCAGATTACCCCATTGCAACATAAAAAGAATTTAGAAAAATGTGTAAAAAGATATGAGGAAACGTATACTCAGCACATAGCGAGGGTTGAGGCAGCACTTGATTTCTACTTAGAATCCAGAAAAGTTAAGACTTTTGATAAATTAAGAGAACTATTGATTGTCGATCAAGTAAAAGATCAATTACCCGCAAATGTTAAGGCGCATATACTGTTAAAAGAGGTAGAAAACTGGTTATCTCCGTCAGAGCTTGCAAATGATTTGGATAATTACGTTGCAGCAATGCCTAGAAATTACAATACGAGTGCTCAGGAAGTAAATAAAGTGGGACCAAAACAGGAACCGATAAGACAAGGGGAAAAATTAGGACGACCAAATAAGAGTAAGGGGAATTTCAGTTCTGATTACAGGGTTGATAAGGAGAAGTACAAAGGGGCAAAAACTTTAGAACCTCAAGGAATGATGCAGGCAAATAAGAAAGTTCTAAAATGTTTTCAGTGTCAGGGTGAAGGACACATAAAATGTTTTTGTCCAGCGATAAACCTGATAGCGAAACCCAAGAGAGGAAGCGAAAAAGAGGATACGGATGAGGTGGAAGCAAAAGGATTAAATAAAACATGCGTAGGGTTGAAGTTAGCTAACTATGCAGAAGAAATTCCGTTAACTAGGGCAAGTGGGGAATTACCTAGGATAGAACTGCAGATAGGCAACGCTAGATTCAAAGGAGTGATTGATAGCGGAGCAGAAGTTACTGTAATCCGGAAATCGGTAGTTCCACAGAAATATTTGGAGTCTGGAGGGAAGATATGGTTACAACCCGCCGTGGGACCCCAGGTAGAAGCCCGATTAGTTACAGTACCTATCAGCATCTGGTCAGGAGAAGAGGAGGTACAGCCTTATGTAAACGTTCATGCAGCAGTAGTGCATAATTTGAACGAGGAAGCGCTGGTGACACCTCGAGATTTTAGACTTCTCAGGGAACAAGGAAATATTTATTGGGGAGAAGATAAGGAAGAAAAACTAGTATTGGGAGTTGGTCAGGTATCGAGTAACTTGGACGGAAAGGAATCGACAGAAAAAGCCAGTCACGAGGTCGAAGGTGAAGCGGAAATAGCTCGTACTACACCGTTGGTAAGGAGTAAAGATGAGGGGGAAGTAGAAGTGGGAGGCAGTGAGCAAGTGTCAGCTGATAACCCACCCTTATCGCAAACTCAACGTTTTAGACAGGAGCAAGCGAAATGTATTTCGCTGAAAAGCGCGAGGCATGACATGTCGAGGATCCCTCACGAATGTATAAGTGGCCAATAATCTGAACTAAATTGAAAAAAAAAGAAACTAATGTTGGTATCATATATATATATATTTTTGTGTGTGTTTGTTTATTATTGTAACACTAGGAAGGATAATGCTCAATGCTAGTATGGCAAAAAGTATATAGATATTGTAATTTTCATTTATTATTATTTTTTTTTTGTATTATTGTGGTTACTCTAGAAAAGATTGTGTTATTAGGGTATATTAGTAAACGAATTATTCCTTAAAGAAGTGTCAGTGAGTTGATATTGCAATGTTTTGTTTGTATCGCTGTAGAAATTTGGACATGTGCAGTTTTTTTATGTTTATGTGTTTTAAGTGTTCTTTTTTGTGTTAGTGTTTATAACTGTAGCATGACCCTTTTTTTTTGCTCTCTGATTTTACTGTGATTCCTTGTGCTGTGTCCCGGAAAAGAGGGACTACCTGGTAAGTGCCAAAATAATATCGGTTTCAAATTTTTCGACTCAGTCGTAAATATTTACAAACCAGAGGGGAGGTGTGAAGTTCCTTCCCCTGATGAAAGACGAACGGAAGTGACTTACCCCGGAAAAACCGGTCGACACAGGCTGGTGGGGGGGAAGAAAGACTGGATGGAGAGGGCACTGGGAGTTGGACCGGCGAGCATGCCGTGTGAGAACGTAGAGAAAAGAAATATGTTTTAATTTCTTTTGCGCGCCTTGTATATATATATTGTATATAGTTTATTTTACAGTGTATTCGTTGTATGGTGTATCAATAGTGCAGTTTGTGTAATAAATTAGTGAAGAAAATGTCAAAGCGGACAAGTGTTATTTTCCCACTATGGTAAGTTTACACAGAAGAACCCACCTCGTGTTTGAACGAGCGCGAGGCTTGACAGATTACTTAAATGATTACTATATAAAATATATATTAAAAAAAGTTTAAATTATCTTTTATTTATCATCCATCTTCTTCAACCTTCATATGAGAAAAACTAATTTACAATTGGATTAAGTATACGCTAAACAACAAAAGCACAGGAACTTCTCCCCAGAAATTGCAATTACAAATTAATTAATTTTAAATGTAATTACATGCACTTTACTGCACAAATGAAATCACATTTAAGAACCTTTATACTTGCATTTAGGAGAGTGATTTATTTATAAATAAATGAAAATCAGATTAATACTTTTCCTGTCTGAGATTGGCCCTCTCTTCACTGGTTAGCGTTTCTTTTGCATTAACTGCATCCTCATCATCTTCAGAATCAGAGAAAATAGTGCGTTTCTGCTTGCTATGCTTTTTGCAAAATGCCTAAATAAGAATAAAAAAAAAAAAAAAAAAAAAAAAAAAAAAAAAAAAAAAAAAATTAGTAAAAGTAAGTAAAAGTCTCTGTGGAATAAGCATACCAGTAAGAATGAAAATACTGTTCGACCACGGATAGCGCAAGCCTCTTTAGCAATATCGCAAAACATTCACACCTTCTAACATGACTGTCAAGTAAAAAAAAATGCATCCAGAGGATTAAATAACATGCTTTTATGGTTTGATTTAAGGAGATGTGTAGCGATACTGTTACTCCTACCTTTATGCAACTGCTACCAAACAATTTGTTTTGATGTTAAATCATAAAGAATTATAATGGGAAATAAAATAATAATAAAGATGCTGCCTTACAGAACAAACCCATCCATTCTGTTTGGTAAACCATGCTGCTTGGTTAGCGCATTTAAGCTCAATGTCGCTACTGCCGTGGTCAGACAGTACCTACAGAATACAAAATAAATTAGCTTCATTCTACTTAACAAACAGTACGCAATACTGTATTCTTATTTTTATACATTTAACAACACCTCAAAATTTAACTGCACTCTACATCTAAACAATAATATTTATAGGTGCTAACTATTACCTTCCTATGTTGTCCTTTTTTATTAAAATTAAGAGTTCATTCCACAACTGAATGTCAACAACAAAAATATATAATACCTACACAGTTTTTTAAATACCTTCAAACTCAGAAGTATTTGCTTATGCTTGAAGGAAATCACATTTGCAGCTACTTGTATATTATGTAGCCAGGAATCAAAATTGTAATTATAAAACAGTAATAGACTGATATAACTATAGTTTATATAATTACTTTCACTGCATATAATTTCCTAAAACTCTTACCTTTCTAGCAGCATTTCTGATTTAATTTATAAATTTAACAATTGCATTGTAAAAGGACACGTTTTAGAAAAATGAGAGAAAAATTAAAAAATATTGAAGTAATAGACACATGAGAAATATATCCTGGTTAGAGGACTGTTATTGCATATAATTTCCTAAAATATTATGAAAACTTTAATTACTTAATTTTTACATTTAATTAGAAGGATATGAATATCGGAAATTACCTATCATAAATTCCTTTAAATATTAAAATCACATAAATATCTCACTCCACATTCAAAATTAAAATTAGATTAACAATCCCAACCTAAGAATAATTTTACTCTTTTTTTCCTCCAATAATCATTCAAGATATATCATCACATCTACCAATCACAGAATGCCAAGAAAGAAATTTTAAAAAATTAACATGAATACTAGTTAAATTAATTTTCTAATTTGTCAAAAAATGCTCATTTCAGAATATGGAATTTAAGACTTACTTTGTTAATTATTTGTTTGAAATTATAATTAATCCTTCAGCTAAAAAGTTGTTAACTCTTTTTAAGATGCTAATGATCATTCACTAATAAACATATCTCAAACTCACATTGCTTGCCTCTTATAACTTTCAATCTCATAAAACAAATTTTTTTGCTGCATATTTCCTCAGTACTTTTAACAATGCCAGATCTTAAAAAGGCAAAATATATATCTTTACAGCAAACTTAAAGGTTTTGTAGTGAAATCAAAAGAAATATATGTTGGTGTGCAAAAATTAAGGACGAGACAGTTTTTTCAATATAACATTGTACAAAAGCTTTCCAGATCAACAAAAATAATACCATAAGATCCCTAAGATGTAAGAACATGGGTAATGTAAGCAAAACTTCTAAAAAAAAAAAAAAAAAAAAAGAGGAAAAGAAAGGAATTTTAATTATAAAGTGGCATGGAGCACAATGCAACAGAAGGCCAAAACATCCATGTGACAGGTGTCCAGCAAGAAACATCCAGCCTTTTAGTAAAGGATATGATCTCCCCTGACTGTTGTGCAGGTTTCATATAATTTGTCCATGCTGAATATGATGTTGTTAATGAGTTCTTGAGGCATTGTTGCCCATTCCTCTTGTAGCATCAGTCGCAGCTCCGGAATCGTTACTGGCGATAAGTTACGTGCTGACATTCGTCTCCCTACAAAGTTTCATATATTTTTCTCTACTGCTCAATGGGATTTAAATCCAGAGACATTGCTGGTCAATTCATATGTTCAATATCCTCCTTCTCCAACATTTCTTCAACAGCAACTGCGCGATGAGGTGGAGCACTGTCGCCCATGAGCAGAAACTGAGGACCTAAAGCCCCTCTGAAAAGATGCATGTAAGGAAGGAGAACCTTGTTACAATAGCAGTTCCCTGTGACTGAACCTCCTTGGAAAATGTGAAGGTTGGTACGGTTACCAAGCATTATGCCTCCCTAAAAGAGAACTCCGTGACCTCCAAACCGATCCCTTTTGATGATGTTGAAGGGGTTATTGCATGTTACCCACTCTCTCAAGATGTGTATACTTCTAGAATTGCAACTCGGACTAAATCTGCTCATCCATAAAGAGTACTTGACCCCATTAATCATCTGTCTAATTCTGGTGTTCCCTGCAGCACAGAAAACGCCTTCTCCGATGAGCAGCATTTTCTGTGGTATACACTGTACAGGTCATTGTGCAAACAGACCACCATTGTGCAGCCTCCTGGCCATGGTAAAACGAAATATCTGTCATCCAATGTTCCTTGTGTCTTGAGATTTCTCTCACTGTGTGCTGAATGTTTCTTCTTACCTATTCGGCAATATACCGATCTCAGACTAAATCTGCTCTCATCCATAAAGAGTACTTGACCCCATTAGTCATCTGTCCAATTCTGGTGACCCTGCACCACAGAAAACGTCTTCTCCGATGAGTAGGCGTTTTCTGTGGTTATACGCTGTACAGGTCATTGTGCAGCCTCCTGGCCATGGTAAAACGAAATATCGGTCATCCAATGTTCCTTGTGTCTTGAGATTTCTTCTTTATTTGCTGAATGTTTCTTCTTGCCTGTATGGCAATATACCGGTCGCCCGTTGCTGTGGTTGCTCGTGAACGACCATTGCTGAACTGTCAGACAGCTGTTCTTGTAGTTTGAAATGCTCTCCAAAGTCATGAAACAATGTGAGCAATCTCAAACTCCACAGCCACACTTCGACCTTCCTCAATCTTTCCAATGATTCGATCTCAGGTAAAAGCATTCAGATGTCATCTAATAGATTTAATCTTCAACATTTCACACTGATGCAGCAAATTGACCTCGTTTAAACTGACATATGCAGTGCAATAGCTTCCCCAAAATGGGAACATTCACACCTCCAGTGATCTTTACACTCCTTCAACACTCCCTCATTACATCTAGTGGCATATATGCTAATATACTTGACCCTAGTCAATCTTCTGATTAGTCTTTCAGTCTGCTCTGCCTCTTCATTCCACTGATAAGCTAATTTTTCAACTTTGTCATGAATTTTTGCACACCAGTGTATCTGCAAGAACTGAAGTATTTGAATATGATAAATGCTCTGAAGAAACTGCATATATAAATAACAATGAATTTTCTTGGTTGAGAGACCACTTTAAATATAAGGAAACAAAATCACAGGCCTAAATAGATAAAAACTTTCAAGGAATTTACTTGGATTATAGAAATATGGATTTTAAATATGCAGTCAATAACAAATATCAGGACAAGTGCTAGTATGTTTTATTTATTTCCAACAAAACATAAAATGATAATAAAAAATGCACTAGTCTTCAAAAGTTAAGAACTAAAAACAATATTTTCATACACCTATGGATTTTACCACATATAGTTTACCATCACATGTATTGCAGGCATATATCAACTCATATGACAAGTAACACTTTGTGTACAGGAAGCAAAAGAAAATGATTCATTTGCACCCAAAATTTAAATGCCTAAAAATAATAATTGTAAAAATTTGAGTTTGAATAAAGAGTTGGTTATCATGGCTTAGAGTAACTATCTTGAAAAATTCCAATAATGAAGTGCTACTGGATAGACTAAAACTTAGTAATACTAACAGAAATGATGAATTTCTTTTCTGTGGATCACTCCATAATTTGTCGCTGTAACAGAAAACAATTTAACTATCATACAAATACTTCTGTTTCCTAAAGATTTAACCTAATAACAAATATGTAGTGCAGTAAACCATTACTGAACGTGGATTTGCTGAACAGGATTTCACTTATATGGGATATCTTAATTGTTTTCATTTGATTCGTCAAACACTAGAATTTTGTTCATACATGGTTCAGCATTTATTGATCAACACTGAATGCTTGCTGGCATTAGTTTTCACCACAAGTTATCAACAATTTTAACATATTTTCATTGACTGAAAATAAAGCCAAAAAATGATACAAATTGCAAAAATAATTGGTAGCAAAGGGGTTTCAGGTATAGAAGAAGTCAAAGAATTAATTAAGAAATGGAAAATGAAGACTTGGATGATCTTAATCACACCAGCCCAGCAATGCGATTTAGCATCAATTATGGATGGCAGTGTCCTTTAGAAATCCGCAATAATGATTGCCTGCTGTTGTGAAACAATTGACGGGACAACATGAAAACATCACCAGCTGCCAGTGGAAAGTAGTGATAATGAAGTTGAAGCACCTTAAATGAATTGTTAGAAAAGGCACATGAACTGCCTGATTTTGCAATGGAGATTCAATCAAACAGAAAAGAAGACACTTTATGTAAAGCATTGAAAAACTCTGCAAAATTTTTAAAAAGTTGTGTTATTTATTGTCTCAAGCAGAAATCACCAATAAAAAAAAGCATTACATATTTATTAAGCAGTAATAAAAAACTTTTTAATTAGTATTCAATTCCCATTTTTCACTTTGATGTACCCCCCCCCCCCCATTCAGTAAGAGTTTATTGCATTAATGGACAAATACAACGGCCAAGCAAAAGCAAACCCTAATTTTTTACCACAGCTATATGAAGTGTGATACCAAACATATTGTAACTTGAAAGTTACACATGAAAAGTACATATGCATGGGAACAAAATATTCTGTTTCTTTGACATTCATACCCACAGATAATACAACAAAAGCGATACCATACGTGGGACAAAAAATTCTTCCCAGAAGAATCAAGTTTACTCTACATTTCGTAAACATGTGAGGGAATAAAAAGAAAAAGAAATACATAATTACTTCAGTAATACCATTGAACACCTGTACAAGTGCAAGGGTGTGGATTCAATATATCATTTATGGCATACCCAAACTGCATGTACTAACAAGCAGAACTGTGACAGTAGAAAGGCATTTAAATTAGGCCCTGATAGCTGCGTGCAAAATTTTATACTGGCTTAATTAACTGAAATTTTTCTCAGCTAGATGAAAATTATCATTTACAGTGGAAGAAATTTTAGACTATTACCTTGAACACACATCTATTAAATTGATGTGATGGCCATTATATTTTCTATATCTCAATCCAATTCCTGGATTAGCTGATTGAAATGATGAATCATCAGAATGAATGTATCAGTTTGTATCAAGGTGGTCAATAAAAAATTTATACACTCAATTAACTTTTATACAGCTTTCCTTCCAAATGCACTATGTCAGAAACAAGGACATATAAGGGTCCAGAATCATAAATACATGAAGACCTGAGGACCCTTTTTCGTGAAAACTAAAGTAATAATATCATCTAGCGAGCAATAACTGTACATGAGGAAAGATTTTGTGTACTGAGGAAAAACAATTTATTTTTGTCCACACATCAAGAGAAGAAGCATGTACATTAAACTTCTTTTATCAAGCTTATTCATGTTTGCTCTTTCCTATCGTTGTTGGTTTCATCCAATTAATTCTTCACTAGCACTTGTGAACATGGAAAGTACAGACTCCAATGAGGCTTTGATTCACTGGCTGAATTTTCTACCAAGGAGAGGAGGAAAACAGAGAGAATCTGCGATTCTACGAAAATTTTAAGATCAACCACACAAGTTAGGACCTGATTGTTAAGCACAAATGGTTTCAGTGTATTTCTTTGATTTGTGATAGTGAAAAACAATGAATTCTCAAAGCTTTTATTTCATAACCGAAATTATTATCTAGCCAGACTTACAATGTTTTTGCTTGTAAAGCACCAACACTCTCATTTGGGAAATAATGGATTTTCCCACACAACTTATCGAGGGCAGTTGTTTCCAAGATCGACAATGCAATAATGTGCCAGTTTATATAAATCCACAACGTTACAAAAAGTCAGGTTAAAAAAAAAGTGAAATTTTGGCTGTTGACAAAAAAAGCACTGGTAGAGTGCAAATGAAAACACAGAAGCTGAAAACATGCAATTCCTTAGAAAAACCACTTCTAAAATAATCAAATTTATCAGCTCCCTCAAAAGGAAAAAGTCTCATTATTTCTTAAAAAGAGTAAGAAATATATCAGTACGAAGTGCTGAACAACACAAAATTACATAACATGTACAAAACAAACAATCTGAACAATGCAGTATTGTCTCATAAATTCAGAGATATTTTTAATTCAAAGTTTAATACAATACATAATTCAAAGTTTAATTACAAAAAGTTACAAAAAGTTAAAGTACAAAGTCCATAATCCGGAATGATCTATAATCCGAACCTCAAAGTCACAAACTTCTTTTTTTGTATGCTTTACACATGCTTGTAATGCATTTATACATGTGCGTTGGGAGGATGTGTCTCCAGATACGTTAAAAAATGCTTGGCATAATTTATGGCCAGCTACCATATTTCATGGTGAGGACGATGACGATGATAGCCGCGAATTAAGGTTTTTGGACATCGCAAACTAAAGGTGAAATTTTCCAGCTATTGGATTTTGTAAAGAAATATGGAGAATGAGTAATAAATGTAGATGATATAACAGAAGTTTTTTCATTGCGACGACAATGCTCCAATCATTAATCAATTAACGGACGGCGAAATCTGTAGTATGGTTTTAGATCCACAAAATACCGTTTCCGATAGTGAAGAAAGTGACACAGAGGTTATTGAAAATGAAAAAATTTTGATTGACAAATTAGTCGGTATTCTCCACACAGCAATTACAGGACGAACACTGGAACTTTGCAAATGAACAAGAAATTATGTCTGTTCATAGAATTAAAGAGAAAGTATTAGCACAAAAAAACGAAGCAACTTAAACAACTTACATTGAAAGAAATGTTTAATAAAGTAAACAAATAATTATTAAGCTTTTTTTTTGTAAATTTTGATACCCTTTAGATCATAATTGCTCTTTATTTTATAAATTACGGTTTCATATTTTTAATTGTATAATTTCTGCATGCCATCTTACCAGATTGAAATTGATGATCTATAATCCAGAAAAAACCCTAATCCGGAATCACCGAAGTACCGACGAGTCCAAATTACGGACTTTGTACCGTATAAGATTCATTTATCCAAATAAGGATAAGTGCAGTTTTCGTGATACATTCAAAATAAAGATTTATATGTTTGCTAAAAAAAATCAGAAAAACTTGTTGAAGGACAAGAAAAAGAGAGACTGATTCAAGACCTGAAAAATAAAATGACAGAAAAGAACTTCATCTGAGAAACAGCCCGTTACAACAGAGAAAATTTGTATTTCTAAGATTGACAAAAGAAACTGGGAAAAATAATTTTAGTTACTTAAAAAAAAACTTCCCTATTTTGAATACATATAGTTTATAAAACAAATTTTGGTAAATAAAGGTTGAAAGTTTATCATAAATTTTTATACAATTTTATTACAATATATTCTTTGTATCATTACACAAAATAAAAATTAATTTTTCTCAAAACTTTTGTCAATGGACATAAATAGTTTTGCCCCTGGTTATTCCCCCTGGTTATAGTTGCCCCTGGTCATATTATGTATGTTTATATTTCTTTATTTTTTATGGTTGGCATATGAAGGAAGTCAGCAATGAGCAGCGGAAATTACTACAAACTTACAAGATTTCTAAGCTCTGCATGAACATTTAGTTTGTATTTAAGAAAACTATTCAGATTAGAATACTATCTATGATTCAAATCAGAATGCTATCCAACTCTGTTGCAGCTGCATGAGCAACAAAAATAGAGAAGTAGTTTAAATTTTTAATATATATTTATACATATTTTACATTAAAAACTGATAAAATTACTTTATTACTACAAATTAAGTTTTACAGTCAACAAACTTGAAATTCAAAATTACACAAATAATCTTTAAAATTAAGCTATCAGCTATTTTTGTGGCATAATTTTTTCAACATATGAATAATGTGCTCACTTTTAAACTATCATCATCAGTATCTGTGTTTTTCACAGATGCTCTCATCTGCAGTCCCTCTTTAAAAGCACATGTTACATGAAAAGCAGTTTTACAAGTTTTTTCCTGAAAATAATAACATAAATTAATAAAAATAATGCAATTAAATGCAAAAAATCAAATACTAAACTAGAAGCAAAATCATATTAAAAATACTTGTGGAATTTTAGCACGAAATGAACTTTTAACCTAATAGTTGATTATTTATTGAGAATTATAAAGCTATATTATAAGATAATTTCTGAAATCTAGACAAAAATAGAACAATGCACGCAAAAATCAGTAATAATGTAATATGCTACATACTGCATTTATTTCACTTTTTAGATAGTGCCACTACAATTAATTGTTGTTTTAATGTTTTTTTATAAGGCAATAAAATTGATAATTATTTTTTGGGCCATGCTGTGCATTTGTAATGTATTTGGTGAATGATTCATAAAAATGGGTCTTTTTAAAGGACACTGCTGTTTTTATTTTGTAAAACTGGAAGGAATTCAAATTTAGTGCAATTAAAATTTTAATAGGTTTTCAAATTAATTAATAAAATCATTAAAATATCCTTAATTATTTGCACTTATTTTCATATTTCAAAACTGTTTCAGGAGGGCCATCTAATAAATTAAATAACTTAAAATGGTAGATCCCATATAACATCATTACCCAAAAATCTATTGATCCAATTTCAAATTTAACCTTTTTTATGTACGGTCAAAAGACAAATATATATATATATATACAAAATAAAAGTATTTTAAATACAAAACTACAGTTTTAAATAATACTTGAAAGTTTATAGAAACTAAAAAAATTGAAACATAGGATAATTGCATTTTTTTTTTTTTTTTTTTTTAATATGAATAAAAAATTTGCTTACACTGCACTGAATACAAGCTCCAGTTTTTTCTTTGCATAATGAACACACAAGAGCCCATCTGCTAGCCTGCAAACAAAAGAATAAAAATGAGCAAGCATACCTCTCAGCTCTTTAATTTTATAATTATCATTTTAATTAATTACATTACATTGAAATTTCATGAACTTAAAATAAATGTATATAATTTATTGCATGCTTATTTTGAGCAATTTTCAAAATATTAAATATCTTATCTATCAAAGACCCTCTAACACAAATGCACTAATATTTTTTAACTTTCTGTACATGAGTAAGGATTTTGTTTACATAACTATACATACAGTATACCATGTACTCTAAATGGATCTCAATGATTTTACCTAAATGCTAGCGAATTATAAGCAACTTTAAAAACAATTTGCAAAGAATTAAGCTTGAAAATCATATTAAGTTACTTAAATCCATCTAATATTACAGTCTCTAGTGGCTTGCAGCAATATAAATAGATTTAAAACTAAAGTCCATTATTTAAAACTATGCAACACTTTAAAATTTTTATCAAAATTTCCTATGACACAATGAATTATTCATGATACATATTTTTAAGTAATAAAACAAAAAATTAAATTAAGTATGTCACAACCAAAGGAAAATATGGAAATTAACTTTTTATATTTCTCCTTTAGGACTAATGTTTTATATACATATCTGTAGCAAAGTCAAAACTATCAGAATATAGACGAAACCTTAAAAACAGGAAACTGCTTCATGAAAAGATGCAATTAAGATTTATTCTTTTACACATGGGAAACTGAGTATTGTTGTATTGTTTTTACAGCAAATTTTGAAATAAGAGAATATAAAAATGATTCATCCAATGGAAACAATTTTATAAATATCATGTAAATAAGCACATATGTGGGAAACGTTATGTCATGATATTCCCTAATATCCTACTGTGTGACGTATGCATTGCGTCAGCATGTGTTTCAGCAGACGTCGCTTGATCGCTCGTATACCATTTTCATTAATTATAATCCTAATGTAATCTATATTTGTAAATAGTAATAAATGTGTGTTATCAATTATGGTCGTTGCCTTTCCCCCACACATATTTTACCCAAATATGAAATGAGAGTATTTTAATATTCATCAATAACGTAACCAGTTATGCTTTTCAAATACATGATTTTTTTTTTTTTTTTTTTTTTTTTTTTTATGTCTGTATAAAAAATTATACTTACAGGTATCTGAGAAACTTTTATTATTGGCTCCATTTTCTTAAAATTGAGAAATGAAACTTCAGGTACCCATATAGCACAACTAACATGTGCCCAATTCTGGCCACACCTGGAACAAAAATTTTCCATCAGATCCTCATACAAAACATAAAACACTAGGAAAAAAAAAAAAAAAAAAAAAAAAAAAAATAAATATGAAGCAGAATTAACAACAAAACTACAAATAACCATTTACGGATATGACAATGGAAATACATTTTGCAGAGTTATCACAATGAGCACTTCATGAAACTTTATTTCACATAATAATTACTTCAATAAAACAAATTTCTATTTGTTAATTTGTCTGAGATCTGTACTATCCTGGATTTACAGATTTGAGACTATAAAAATTATAATGATGAGACTTTTACATAATGGTGAGAATTCAAACACTTAGAACATTATTCCTTTAGAATTAGAAGTGCTTTCCGTTAACATCACTAACAGAAAAAATTGCTAAATAGTCAGCAAATGTATTTAGCAGTTTCATACCTCATCAAAATGACATAATCCTACCAAAAGATTATTGTGTCATTCAAGAAGAAACAAAACCTTCTCACAAAAAATTGATCACTTGTTCAAGATATCAATCATGAAAAAGAGTGAAGTATTTTATTTTAAAAATGTTCAATAATTAGTACAGTCAAAAGTCGTTAATTCGGACAACCATAATCCGGAATGATCTATAATCCGGACCTCAAAGCTAAAAACTTTCTGCGCATGCGACACGTTGGCACATGCGCACAGGCATTTTACGCGTGCGCTAAGACCTTGACTACTGCGCATATGCGTGTGTGCAAGTGCAGAATACGTTTTCGCCTGCGCGTTTAATGTATAACGGACGGTGTAAGCTAAAATTATCTAATTATCTATTTCAGTTAATGTTAATGATTGCGTTGTTCCTTAACCTTTGAATTGGATCCCACTTATTATTTTTTGCAGACTGTAAGAGCAATTTTATAAAAGTAAACTTGAACTTTCGATTATGTCAAAGAATTTCCGATGCTGGAACTTCCAAAGGATCTACAAACGAAAGTATGTTTTGATGTCCAACAAACAAAAAGTGGAATTGCTGCAAAAAAATGGATAAAAACATGAAGAATGTGACAGAGAGAGTTAGTGAAAATGAAAAAAAATTTCGTTTGACAAGTTAGTCGGTATTCTCGGCACAGCAATTAACGGGACTTGACAGTGGAACTTTGTAACTGAACAAGAAATTATGCTGTTTATAGAATTAAAAGAGAAAGTATTATCACATAAACGAGCAACTTAAACAACTTACATTGAAAGAAATGTTTAATAAAGTAAACAAATAATATTAAGCTTTTTTTTGTAAATTTTGATACCCTTTAGATCATAAATGTTTTTTATTTCATAAATTACGGTTTCATATTTTTAATTTTAGAATTTCTGCATGCCATCTTACGTGATTTAAACTGATGATCTATAATCCGTAAAAATCGATAATCCGGAATCGCCGAAGTCCCGACGAGTCCGGATTAACGACTTTTGACTGTAGTATAGTACAAAGTCCGAGATATGAACTCATCAGGATTTCTGCGATTCTGGATTTACGATTTTTCCAGATTTAGATCATCAGTTTAAATCTAGTAAGATGGCATGTAGAAATTATAAAATTAAAAATATAAAATTGTGATTTATAATCTAAGGGTATAAAAATTTACAAAAAATAAAAAAAAAAAAAAAACTTAATATTTACTTGCTTACTATATTAAACACTTCTTTCAGTGTAATTTGTTAAAGTTGCTTCATTTTTTGTACTAATACTTTCTCCTTAATTTTCTAGACAGACATAATTTCTTGTTCAGTTACATTGCTGAAGTCCTGTAATTGCCGTGTCAACAATTTCAACTAACTTGTCAATGGAAATTTTTTCATTTTCTGAAACCTTCCTGTCACTTTTCTTCACTATTGGTAGCAGCATTTTCTGGAATTAAAACAATGGTCGCCAAACTTATGAAGCTCCTGAACTACTCTACCGTTTTTAAATCCTACTGTGAGCTACCAAAAAGAACTATCAACTTCTTTTTTAAAAAATGTTATATTTGTTTATTGCTCATAAACTTACATTTCTAGTAAATTTGAAATAAATTTTAATTAAACTATATATAACAAAAAGAAATTGGAATTAACTGTAAATAAGAAAGGAACTGAAGTGTAATTAGTAATAAATAATAAATGTAATAACAGACTTTTTTATCAGACTGATTAACATTAAAGAGGAGGATGGAATTTTTGTCATCAACAAGTTTTTTAATGTCAGAGAGTAGGTAGTGGCTGCCATTCAAATACAGTTGTTCAAGTCAGGACTTAAAAGAGAAGAGAGAGCTCATAGACCTTTTCCCCCTGAAGCAGAAAGTGAGAAGTGATGACGTAGTTATGATGACACTGAGTGCGGAGAATGCAATTCACAGCTTAGAAATTAGTGTTTTTGAACCAGCGTTTAAAATGAGCTGTGGGTAAAAGATAGCTATAATTTGGAAGAGACAATGTTACTGCTGTATGCATTTTACACTGAACCAATTAAAAATTTAATAATACTTACTCAATTTAAAAATAATAGACAAAATGCGCTACTCTTTTAACACAAAGTTCCATGGGTTTTTTTTTTTTTTTTTTTTTTATTATTATTATTTGCAGGTTTTTTATTTAATGCACATTTATTTAAAATCACTTCTTTATCTGCATGCTAACTGAGAGAATTTTTATACTGCTTCTAACATAACTATAATATCAGCTATTTAAAGTTACTCAAAAAAAACAACTTTACATTGACACAGTTTTAAACATATATGACATATCTGGCAAAATTTCTGCTAATCTACGTTTGACTTTATAATTTTGTAATTTATACTTACATCTATATTACAATTAAATATATGTATGTAAGATTGTTACCTTAATTTTGATAAAATGGCTTTACTCACAGTACCTAAAACAGTTATTTAATTTTTCAAAAGTGTGAGTAAAGGAGGCAGGTCTTTTTATGCCAATTACTTGATGTTTTATACTATTATATTTTATCTAGAATGCCAATCTTAGCACAAAATCGAATCAGTAATTAGTTACAAAGGATACAACAAGAATAACTAATTAAGTACTTAATAAAATTAGTTTGTTAAGTACTTGTTATTCTTGTTGGTACTGAAGATATTATAGATTAACTCACAGAAGTCAGATGCTTTTTGATTTCCTGTGAGGAGGAGTATACCTTTTGTGGTAGTTCTTGAAAATAATGTTTTCATTGGAGCAACTTTTTGTCTCTCGTTTCCCTTGACCATTAAATAATTCGGTTTTAGTTTGAGACACAATTTGATTTCTTCTGAATCTCTATTTAAAACTTCTTTAATAATATCAAAATTTAAAACAGTTCTATCTTTTAAAACAAATCCTTTATCTAAAACATGGTTGCTCAGTAATTTGAGGCAGAGCACGAAATGAGACCTCTGATTAAAATAAAATGCACATTTTGAAAAGAACCGAGAACTTGGTCCAGTTTAGAGCAGAGTTGTTTTAGCAGAGTTTTCAATCTATATGCATTTCGTCGAAACTGAGAATGCACATTTTTTCTACAGAATTCAAATATTTGCCTCTTTCCTTCTTTTAAGACGATCACTTTGAATTCTTGAACTACACTAAACTTTAGTGCACCATTTCTTTAATTTGCTAATACTAGGTAAAAGAATTCCAATTTTTTTTTATTTCCAAAAATCATAGCTTTAAGATGACAGAGCTCTTATGACAATGCAATGTGAAATATCTTCACTAGTCCACTTGATTTTTTCCTTCTTTTTCAACAATGCATTAATCTGCGTCTTTATATAAGAAAAAAGGCTTTAGACGTTTTTCCAAATTCTCTGATTTATGCCCCCCGAAATTTCGCTATTTGAGATTTTAATTTCTGATACCAATTTCTTTTTAGATGTCGTTCACCTTCTTTGTCACTGAACAAACATTCTAAAATTTTTCTTTTCCAATACTTTAATACAATTTCTTAAGGATATTATTTTGTTTTTCAAATTATCAATGCATTCTTGTTTATCCTTAAACTTAGGACATTCAGAAATATCTACATTTTCATTTGCGAGTTTTGTTTCAATAATTAACATTTGATTTATTATTGTAATCATAATTTACTTTCGGCACAGCATTCCATTTCAACAGTTTCTTTTTGTGACTATCCAAACAAGCGATTTTTCATATCATCTTCATAAACACTGAATTAAAAATGTTCGGTGCAGATTTTTCTGCTCTTCACATTAAAAGAATCTTGTTTTTGACATTTGTGTATCCATTCTTTTGTCAAAAGCAAATTTTCATTTGGGCCCTTTGGCCCCATGAAATAAAATATCTCCTCCTTTCCTACTTCTATAAGTGCTACAGCACTTTACTACAGCGCAAAAAGCCATATTACGTAAAAACAATACTTTACAATATAGAATTTAAAATAAAACTGATTAAATATATATATATATATATAAAATTATTTTAAGTATTTACATTATTAGAAAACAAATATATATGATTAAAATTAATTTGGGATATGTAACCTCTAGAAAATCGTATTGCAGCTGAATGAAACTACAGTTTTAAATGCAGGAAATCAGAACAGGTGCATCACAGTGATGTCAGATTGCTGCCGGTTCAGTCCCCCCATTAGGGTCGCATCAGTGAGGAGTCGAACAAAGGAATTAACTAGCCCTTTCTATTTATCCCTGTGTCCAAGTAATCATTAGTAAGTATGTTCCTATACTTTTTTTTTTTGATAAATTTCATACTGAAAAATGAAATTTCACACAGATATATAGAGCTGAACATTGCCTTCACTTTAAGAGAAACCTGGACCAAAACTGAGTGTTCTTCTTAAGGAACAAGAGACCAAGTATTTTTCATAGCTTGAAGAAAGTGATCTTACAGATAAATCATTTTGAAAATCAATCAGTTCGAACTGCAGCAGTGTCTTCTTGTCAGTATCAGCTCAGTGGAAGAATCAAGGTTAGGTAATGAAGATGTCCCCGAACCGAAGATAGTTAATGTGATCTACCG